AAATTATTGACAGAAATATTATCTGATTAAATAACTATCAATATTCGATTAACGTAATTTTTTATAAGAACAAAATACTTCACAAATTCTATATGAAATGATCCAGATGATTGAAATAGCATCCATAATGGACCTCCCAAGGTCTAACAACATCCTCTTATTAAAAAACCTAACCGGAGAGAACTAATTTTTTTAACATACTATTTAAACAATTAATGCGCAGCAACATTAATGCTACACTTTTCATGTTTTTTTAAACATATTGTTTCAAACAGCTAGTGCACATGCAACAATAGGGTCATTTTTTTAACACTTTTTTTTTGGTTTAGTATTACTTATAAGTTAATTTTTATAAATATAATTTTTTGAACTATTAATTTTAATGAATTAAAATAAGTTGTAAATGTTTTAGGTGACTTTTATAATCGTTGAACCTACTTAATTTTTATAGCATTCGTTTGGAATGTGAATTGATTGTTTGGTTATTTTAATCTGAGTTTAAAAAGTCTCTTTTAAGATTTTTTTTGTCTTTTTTGATTTTTATGAGAGAAAAAATGAAATAATTATGATTTGAATGTGATATTTTGTTTTATTGACTTTTTTATTTGTCTTTTTGCGGCTGAAATAACAAAAAAAAAAAAACCATGCCAAATATAGCCATAATTTTTTAATATGTAAATATTCAAAATATCTTTAAAAATTACAATTAAGACAAAGGAACTACTTTTGCCCATACATATTTAAGAACAACAAATTAAACCTTATTAAGAAAATCTCAAATATTTTGGCCAAATAAGCAAAACGTCATATAAGTTAAAGGGTAAATTACACTAATAGTCCATATAGTTTAAGACTTGTGTCATTTTGATCCTTAACTTTTCAATTGTAACACATTTGACCTTCAATTTTGAATTTTGTTCCAAATAAGGACAATTGTAGATACTATTGGATTTTTCAAGGGTAAAATGTCAATTTGATAAAATATAAATTAATTTGATAAAAATGAATGTCAAAAAATATTTTTAAATTTAAAAAAATTATTTCTAGCTACTAAAGATAAAATTATATAAAATTAATAAATATTTTAGACATTTATTTTTTTTTTTACCAAATTAATTTTTATTATGTATTTGGATGATGATCATGTAAAATTAATTTTTAATAATTAATCATGTAATTTTTATTAATTTTTATCAATTTTACATAATTTTATTTTTGGTGGGTAGAAACAATTTTTAAAAAAATTTAAAATATTTTTTTGACATTTATTTTTGTCAAATTAGTTTATATTTTATCAAATTGACGATTTTGACCTTGAAATAAAGCAATGGTATGTTCAATTGTCCTTATTTTGAACAAGATTCAAAATTTATGGTCAAATGTGTCACAATTAAAAAATTATGGACTAACGTGACACAAGTCTCAAACTATAAAGGCTATTAGTGTATTTTTTCCTAAGTTAAAATTTAAAATTGCAATTAAACATCATTAGTTAATGTTTTTAAAAATAAATAAATTGATTTATAAATATAAAAAATTATTCATAAATCCCATTTGGAGAAAAGTTATTCCATTTAGGTCTACAAGTTTTTTTTCAAATCAATTAGTCATTTTTATTTTGGGTATATTGTATTTCCTTAATTTGAAGTTTGAAAGTTTACTTGTTTGCCTTTGTGTGATTTTGTTTGAATTTTTTCCTAATATTAGGTGTGCGTGAGTAAAGTAGATTTTTACGTTTCTATTTTTTTTTGTGAAAGTTTAGTGGAATGATTTGTTGGTAGATGATGTTATCACGTTTGTGATGTTATTGGTGCAGTGTTCGTTCCTTTTTGTGGTGTTCATCCCTATTGTAACATTAACATTATAACATTGACATTAATTAATATCCAAACATAACACTAATGTAACACATAAAAAAAAACTCTTTACTATAGTTTTTTCAAACATAACACTCTAATATATCACTCTAAAAAAACTCCTTAGTGTAACACTCTAAAGTAACACAAAAAAAATCTTATTGCAACACTGTAATGTAACATACAAAAAAACTTCTTAATGTATTTTTTCCAAACATAACACTCTAATATAATATACAAAAAAAACTCTTTAATGTAACACACTCAAAAATTCCTCAGTGTAACACTCTAATGTAACATACAAAAAAATTTCTTGATGTACTTTTTTCAAATATAACACTCTAATATAGTACTCTAAAAAAATCCTTAGTGTAACACTCTAATGTAACATACAAAAACTTCTTAGTGTAACATTCTAATGTAGCACACACAAAAAATTCTTAGTGTACTTTTTTTAAACGTAACGCTTCAATATAACACCCCAAAAAAATCTTTAATGTAACACTTTAATGTAAATTTTTTTGGTGTACCTTTTCCAAACGTAACGATGCGATGTAGCCAAAAAAAAAACTTATTCATATACTTTTCGTAAACATAACACTCCAATATAACATTAAAAAAAAAGGATGTGGGATTATTCAAGTGTAACATTCTAATGTAACACACACAAAAAATTCTTAGTGTACTTTTTTTAAACGTAACGCTTCAATATAACACCCCAAAAAAATCTTTAGTGTAACACTTTAATGTAAATTTTTTTGGTGTACCTTTTCCAAACGTAACGATGCGATGTAGCCAAAAAAAAAACTTATTCATATACTTTTCGTAAACATAACACTCCAATATAACATTAAAAAAAAAGGATGTGGGATTATTCAAATCATTCCAAAAAGAGTACAAATGTTCCTTATTAAGTTTTGAACAAATGTATAATTTCAAACTGTGAGTGTCACGTTTGAAAAAAAAGTACACTAAGAAGTTTTTTTTAATATTTTTTTGTGTTACATTGAAGTATGTTACATTAGAGTGCTACGTTTGGAATTACACTGATTGAAATGTTATGTTTGAGAAAAGTACACTGAGAATATTATTATTTTATTTATTTATTTTTATATTGGAGCGTTATATTTGAGAAAAGTATACAAAAGAATTTTTTTTGAGTGTTACGTTGTTACGTTTGTAAAAAGTACACCAATGAATTTTTTAGTGTGTTACATTGAAGTGTTACGTTATTGGAGTGTTATATTAGAGTGTTAAGTTTTTGTTTGTAATATGGGATTTGTTCTAAAATGAGAAAAAATTCAAAACTTCTATAGTTCAAATTGCCCATATGTGTAATTTTACATTTTGAAAAAATTACTTTTATTTTTAAAAAATTAAACTCAAAGTTATAAATGACTACACTCTTAAGTAATTTCTACTTTAACGAGGCTTTTAAATTTATAAGAAAACAGAAAGAAGAGTAAACCGTTTATAAAATCACGTTTTAAAATTTATTAGTAATTCACCCTCATAAATACTACTTAGGTCTCGTTTGAGAACATGCTATTTTAGTAACTTTTTGATTTTTTGGCTAAAATATGAGGTAAAAAAAACTAGTATGTTTGGGATGACTTTTTGAATTTTTATGAAAAAATGTGCAAAAAATAGAAAAAAAATGAAATTTTTGACTTTTTTATACAAATTATTGATTTTTTAATTTTTTTAATAATTTTTTGACTTTTACGTTAAAATAGTACTTACTAAACGAGGCCTAAATGGAGTATTAGTGGGTTTCATTTGACAACTCCTAATAAAGTAATTTTTTTGGCTAAAAAAAATGCAAAAAGAAGCTTTGAGTCACTCTCATTTCTTGTTAAAAAGACGACCTTAGTCGGTGTTTGGGTGCTGAGGAAAAAAAGTCAGCGTTTACACCCCAAAAAAAGCATTAAATTTTTTGTTATAGTTAAAAAAAAAGAAGTTAAACATGACATTAATTTTTTTAACTTTTAAAAAAATATAAAAACTCAAGAAATCACTGAATTCATGTTTATTTGGTTTTATAGGAGGGAGGAAATTAAAAGTACGTTGAAATTAAGTGATGAAATTATTAATATAATGGTATTAAGTTAGAGATGTAAGATAAAAAGTGTTTATTTATGTAGTACCAAATTAGTAATACTATAATATATAAAATTAATATTTGTTAATAATATAATTATTTTTTTGATCTAAAAAATATAAATTTTGCTTAAAAATCATTTAAAAATTCATAATCCCCTCACTCAATTTCGAATCCCAACCTCTCCGTGGGATTGGTAGTCTTACCAATGGAGCGATTACTAGTCCAAGGGAATAATTAATTCCTTCACTCATTTCTCTAATCAAACACTCTTTAAATGGATTTCACAAATTATTAATTTAATTTTTATTTCTAAAGAGCCAAATAAATATGGTCTAGAAGTTAACCGCAAATCACAATTTTTTTTTGAAATAGTTCTTACTATACAATTATTCAATATATATTTTGAGGTAAGGTGAGAATTATTATATTAATGATCATGAACACATGCATGGTGGTCATTTGGGCTCGAGTCGGGTTGCCATTATATAATAAGATATTATATATTTTTTAAAATTCAGTCTGATTCTAACATTGGATTTTTATTTTTACTAGTCTAAAAAATAATTATAAATTACAAATCTACTTATCAGTCTATAAAAAAAAATTAAAACATTTCATGTTTAAATTCAATCACATATTATATTTCTTAAATAAATACACTGACATTTTTATAAATTAAAAAAAAATTTAAATAAATTTAATCAAATATCATTACAAATGTAAGTTTTAATAATATCACCAAAAATAAATTTTAGTCCCCAACAAAAAAATATTATATATTTCAATATCTTATAATTAAATGTAAATCTCAATCCATTAATATATTATACTGAAAAAGTTGATCGAATCTGATCTTATGGACTAAAACAATTTTCTTAAATCTTAAAAAAATAAAGCTAAATCAAGCAAACTGGACAGATCGACGGCCGATATCCACCCTACATGACATACAAAATGTATAATAGAAAAAAAGGTAGTACTATACTAACAAAATTAAAATAGCATTGGCAATTTCATCTATAAATAGGGAAGCTCCTCTAACATGAATCACGTATAACATAACACACATCACCTGTGCCTAATCAAACCCTCCCTCACCTCCTCAATTTTTTACAACATGAGGAAATCAAACACCCCCTTCTCCTTCCTCGCTCTCTTGCTCCTCCTCATTTCTCTCTCTTCTCTCGCCTCATCACAGTCTCCGGTCCGCGACACCACCGGCCAAAACCTCCGCACAGACCTCTTCTACTTCATCCTCCCGGCGGCCCGCGGCGGCTACGGAGGCGGCGGACTCACTCTCTCCGCCGGCCACAACGCCACCTCCACCTGCCCCCTCGACGTCGTCCAAGAGCAACCCGACTACGGCCTCCCCGTCACTTTCTCTCCGGTCAACCTCCCAAACGGCGTAGTTCGCGTCTCCACAGATCTCAACATCGTGTTCTCACCTAGGGCTTACAGTGTCTGCGTCGAATCGAATGTGTGGAGGCTTGGTAGCGCCGATCAATCGACTGGTAAGAACATCGTGACGACTGGTGGGATCGAAGGGAAGCCTGGGAGAGAAACGGTGAGCGATTGGTTTAAGATCGAAGTTTATGAAGATTTCTATAAGATTGCTTATTGTCCGAGCGTGTGTGATGTGTGTAAAGTTACTTGTGGAGATGTTGGGGTTTATGTTGATCGGAATGGAACGAGGCGGTTCGCGCTCAGTGATGTGCCCTTCAAAGTCATGTTCATGAAGGTTTAAACATCTTCTTTTTTTTTTTCTTTTTTTTTTTGTTTTGTTTTGGTTTAATAATGGTTGGTTTAATCTTGTGTTTTGTTGCAAGAATAATAACAAAAGTTGTGTGTATCTTTTGATTCTTTTCAACCAACCTTGTTATTTTTAATTGAGTTCTATTATTTTGTACCCATCACTTGAAGAAAAAAAATTAATATGATATCATGTTGGCTACTATATGTATGTACATGCGACGGTTGCTAAATTTGTTTTGTTGTGTCTTTTTAATAATTAAAAACATTTATTTTTAGATATACTTTATAATATTTATAATACAAAAATTAAAAATTTATTAAATATAAAAAATAGTACATTATTAGAAAATCAATCACAACCAAACAAGATAAATATATTTGAAAATAATTTTTTTATTTTTTAAAAAAAATATGAAAAGAGTAAAGTAAAATGAAATAAATCTTTATCTAATTTTTTTTTTTTTTTGTATGAGTCGAAAGTTTGGTTTTTAAATCTATTTAGGAGTTTTTTTACTTATAAGTTAAAATGGTGAATTTTCAAACAACCCCTTAAATGGGAGTAAAAAAATCATTAGAATGGTGATACTACATTAGAATTGACACATAATAAGCATTGACATGTAATATTGTTATACAATTATAGATTTATTTTGAGTAGTGGATTAAAAATTAATTTTTTAATTTTTTTTTTGAAATATGTAAAAAAAATAAAGAAATAATATAATATAAAAAAATTAAAAAGTAAAATAAAAAAAAAAATTTCTTTTAACCTCTTTGTCAAAAGAGGTCATAATCTATTATGTAAGTATAGGCCTAGTTTGGAAATATTAAATAAGTGCACTTTTTGATTTTTTTTGTATTATGTGTAGAAAAAGTAGAGAGGAGATGTTGATTGATGTGACCCAAAAAAAATAAAAAGATGAAATAAGTGTACTTTTTTCTTTGTAGCCAAACTTGGCCATAATATAATGTGGTAGGTTAATGGGGGTGAGTAGGAAGATACTTACACTTATATTGTGGAACTTATTCTATTATCCCTTCTTTTAAGATTTAGGTTAGTTTTTTTTTAGCTTTTTAGTTATTTTAGTTTTGGTTTAAAAAATTTTGTTTGGGATTAATTTTTTTAATTTTTGTGAGAAAAAAAATAAAATAATTATAATTTAGATGTAACATTTTATCCTATTTAACTAAAATTATAATCAATTTTGTCCTACATAACTATTTTAGTCCAAATGCATATGCCAAACAGTGATATCACGTGTCAATGTCAACATTGTATCACCGATACTCCTTAAATAGGAACTTTATGGCATTGTTTGGGAACTTGGTTTGGGGCTAAAATAGCCACAAAAAATAAAGTAAGTTATTTTAGTCATAAAAAACAAAATATCAAATTTAACCCATAATCATTACAATCCTCTCTTGCAAAAAAAATAAAAAAAGTCAAAAAGCCCTTCCCAAACCACGCTAAAATAGCCCAGGCTAAAATAGCCAAAAAGCCAACCCACTTCCCAAACGGAGGCTATGTCTGGTTAGGCTTCGTTTGGAAAGCCAAGTCTGGGACTTTTTTAGTTATTTTAGTCACAAAAAATAAAATAAATTTTTTAATTCAATAAGACAAAATATCACATCTAACTTATAATTATTACATTCTTTTTCTCACAAAAAAATTTAAAAAATCAAAAATTCTTTCCAACCCAAATTTTTTAACCCCATACTAAAATAATTAAAAAAATTAAAAAAAGTCAAAAAACCAATCAACTCTCCAAACGAACGCTTATAATGTTAGTATTGTTATTGGTAACACTGTTGAATTAAATTTTTACTACGTATTTTATTTTGAAATATGATTTGGCTTCTTTTAGAGAGTTGATTCCTTTTGTTTAAGATTGGCTTCGTTTGGAAAAGGGTTTTTTTTAAGTAACTTTTTAACTAAAATATGATATAAAAAAATTAGTATGTTTAGAATGATATTTTGATTTTTTACCAAAAAATATATAAAAATACAAAGAAAATGAAATATTTGATTTTTTAGTATAAATTATTAGCTTTTTTTATTTTTTTAATAATTTTTTAATTTTTTAACTAAAAAAATCACTTGTCAAATGAGGCATAAGACAATAGTTTATCCTCTTGTTTTTAAACCATAGTATCATAGCCCATTCACTTCACGGACTCTTACCTTTTCATAACTTTTTTTTTTTTTTTTTTTTTTTTTTTGGCATACTCCCTTTGGGCCCATTTTTCGACATGTTCAAATTCAAATTAAACAGAAAGGACATTTCAGCCCGTAATAAATACCTTTGCGTTACTTTTTTTCAACCAGATTTAATCCTAACTAAAGCAAACAATGCGATTATTTAATTTCATCTCCATCTACTCTCTAACATCTTGTCAAAAAATATTATCTTTTTTATTTTAATGAAAAAAAATAGATATACAAATAGGTTACTCCAACATATCCGTTAAGAAATATTGTCTCTTAGTACCTACAGTATATCTGCAGGGAATCCTACCGCACTTATGTTGGGGCCGAAGATTAGGCCCTATGTACTCCAAGTATTAAGGAGTATGTTTAACCTGTTGGAAATGGTAGAAAAATTCTGGGTAAAACCAGAATTTTTTCTCAAGTTTGGTCTATTTTTTAGGTGGACCCCGAGCGTCGATTTACTCGGGTCAAAGTGGTAACGCGTTCTATGCCGCGTTGTGATTCACGTGGTATATTTGGTTGCTCAAAACCATTACCGAGTGAATGGGAAATTGAAGCCAAATTGTGCTCCATGGAAATGAAGTTTTGGTGGAAATTCCTAAAGGTTGTAAAATGACTTGTTCCACATTGATTTGATGAGAAGTTTTGAAAGGGTTTATAAGGCTTGGGTGAGATACTTGGGGTGTGCCCCAAGAAGTACCCAAGTGTTTTAGAGAGAGAGGTTATGGGCAAAATGGGCTAGACCCATTGGACACAAAAATCACCACACACGCGCACACCGCCGTCCGGGCTGGGCTGGGCTTGGGCACAGGTGCGTGGTGTGTGGTTGGGCTTGTTCGGCCCAATACTAATCTTTTTGGGCAAAAAATATTTGAATTTAATTTTATTTTTGGTAAGATAAAATTCAGAATTCAAATTCCCGTTTTTTGCTATCTGTTTGAATTATTAACAGATTCAAATCTGTTTGAATTCAAAACCAACAGGTATCATACCTGTTCAATTTAAAACCAAGAGCCACATACCTGTTCAATTCAAAACCAAAAGCCACCTTTACATCTATAAATAGACTAGCCTCCCATTTGAATTTCTCAATAAAATTTAAATGTCTCAATTTAAAAATAAAATAATTTTATTTAACTTTTTATTGATGTTTTGTTTATTTAATTTTTTAAAATAATTTTTTATAGATATTTTATTGATGTTTTATTTTAAAATTTTGTTTATGTTTTATTTAATTTCATTGTTTAAATTTAATAGATGTTTTAATAGATGTTTTATTTAAACAATTAAATGTTTAATTTCAACAATAAATAATTTCATTTATTTAAATTATGTTTTATTTAAACATTTAAACATTTGTACATCAACATGTTTATTAAATTATTTCAACATCTGTACATCAACATGTATATTTATTTAACATCTATTAAATTATGTTTTAATACGTCAACATTTGATTACATTTACATTTGTTAATTGTTAATTACATCAACATTTGTTAATTGTTTAAACATAATCTATACATCAACATTTATTTAATTGTTAATTGTTAATTGTTTAAACATAATTTGTACATCAAAATAATTTCAATGTTAATTGTTTAAATAAAAATTTAAACATTTAACCATTAGTATGTTTAATTTCAACAATAAATTTTTATTTGTTTAAATAAAAATAATCTATACCAGTCAAATTTTTTTATCAATATTAGTATGTTTAAATATCTTTAAACAAAATTTAACCATTAGTATGTTTAATGTTTACTAAAAATAATTAAAATATTAAAGATATGTTTAATATTGCTATTACTTAGTAAACAATTGAAAAAGGGTAAAATAGTCTTTTGTTCATTTATCCTATCCAGTCCGTCCAACCAAACGTTGGATTCACTGAAAATAGTCCTATCCAGACATCTAATCCCATGAAAAAACAAACACAGGATACATATCCAATCCGACCAAATAGTCCGAGGGATTCACAGTCCCAGGACTCAAGTCCGATGGATTCTAATCCCCCATTTTCCAATCCGTCCAATCAAACACAGCGTTAAACACTGGACTTGATCATTTCGTAAGGCAAACAATTTGTAGTGTTGCTATTGTTTGTGGTAGATCATTTCATCTTGGGAGATAGACGTCCAAATTCTGAAAGCACCGTGGAGAGGACGAATCTGTCTTAAGGACACAGCGTTAAACACTGGACTTGATCAGATAGTTATTCAAAAGAAATTAACCAAGTAAGTTGTTTAATTTTTATTCCGATTTTAATTTTATTTACTTAATCAAATTTTAATTTTGTTTTTGTAACAAAATAAAATCTGTTTTTATTTATTTATTTTTTATTTCGAGTTTGATTTTTGTAATCAAACAAATTCTCTCATTTTCTTTATTTCTTTATATTCTTGTTGTTGTTTTGTATACAACAGAATTTAATCTATTTAAATACAGTAAAGATTGTACAACATAACCCCCAATAAAGGACTATAAAGACTCAAACCCAAGCCTTGAGCAAAGAATTTAAAGGTTTTATCCACTTAACCAACCCTTTGTTAGTGTCAAAAAATATTATCACCCTCGTCCCTGGTGCTCCACAATTGGCATTTACCGTCTATAATCTCACTCCAACTTTCCTTACCACTAATAATGGGACTTAAATCCATATCATATGATACCAAATCCAATTTAACAGGAACTTCGTACATTGTATCGTCATTTTCTTAATCTCATATGATTTTGTCTGCAGATGCTAAACCCCTTCTATAATAAAGATGTTAAACATGTCATGTAAACAACACATGACATGCTAAGGGTTGTTTGGAAAAAATTAAATAAATACACTTTTTTACTTTTTATGAAATATGGATTAGATTTGAAGTGATGTGGTAGAGAGGTGATGTGACTTAAATAAGATGATGTGACTAGATAATGACTTTTTAACTTTTTTAAGTTATCCCAAACCAAGTCTTAGATTTTATGGGTAAAGTGTCTTTAGCC